TCTCTCTCTATCTCATTCTCTCTCTCAAATAAATAAATAAAATCTTAAAAAAAAAGAAAAGAAAAGAAAAGAAATAATCCATAGCTTTAAAAAAAAAATAATATTTGGTGATACTTTCCTCACTAGAACATGCTTCTGAATGGGTGAAGACGTGCCTTGTGGCCAGTGTCACGAGTATATTGTGTCTATAGCTCTGATCTCACGGAAAGAAATCTTTGATTTAGCATTCTCATTTGAACCTTTGGTGTGTCCACTTCTTGTGCTTTGAATTCACCATTATTGGAGAATAGATTCATAGTACTTAAGCGAAAAGCTTAGAGTTGCTAAAAGCAACATAGTTCAGTTTAAAGATGATTGTGGTGACCCTCGCCCTGTTATTAACCAAGTATGTAACATGTTCTCTTTAATGGGGAAAAATAACTGTGAAGATATTAGAGTATTACTCCCCAGTACTGGGTCCTATTGATATTAGCTCAGACTTTTTTTTTTTTTTTTTAAAGCCCAATGCAGGGCTTGAACTCCCAACCCTGAGGTCAAGACCTGAGCTGAGGGGGCACCTGGGTGGTCCAGTTGTTAAGAGTCTGCCTTCGGCTCAGGTCATGATCCCAGCTTCCTGGGATCGAGCCCTGCATCGGGCTCCCTGCTCTGCGGGCAGCCTGCTTCTCCCTCTCTCACTCCTCCTGCTTGTGTTCCCTCTCTCGCTGTCTCTTTCTCTGTCAAAAAATAAGTAAAAAAATCTTTAAAAAAAAAAAGACCTGAGCTAAGATCAAGAGTTGGACACTTAATTAACTGAGCCACCCAGTCGCCCCAGCCCAGACCTGTTTATAATGTCATTAAGTTTAATCTGTTAGATTTCTCTTTCTTGAATTTGTTAGATTTCTCTTTCTTGAATTTGTTATCCACTTTTATCAAATGGCTGCTTATAAATTGTCCCCATGGTGAGCCTGTGCCTAGTTTAGATTCAGCTCTACTTTTCATCTTTTTGGATATTGTATATCATAAATGATATTTTCATCACTGATGTCTGGCATGTTGACTCCATCTCTTTTTTTCCTACTTATTCTAGTTATATATATAAAAATTTAGTACTCCATCATTTGTATTAATTTATATATAACTGATGATGATTCTGTTTCCATGCCATGCAATTGATGCCTACTGGTCTAGATAGTCCCACATTAGTTTTTTTTTCCCCCTACAAATTGGATTGATTTATAAAGAGAAGTCAAAAAAGAATGCAGGGGCACCTGGGTGGCTCAGTCATTAAGCGTCTGCCTTCGGCTCAGGTCGTGATCCTGGGGTCCTGGGATCGAGCCCCATATCAGCCTGCTTCTCCCTCTCTTACTACCCCCTGCTTGTGTTCCCTCTCTCCGTGTCTCTCTCTGTCAAATAAATAAATAAAATGTTAAAAAAAAAATGCAGTTCAGATGAGTTTGTAACCTGGTTTCTTCCTTCCTTGGCCACTATCCTCAGTGTTAACTTTGAGGTCATGTTACCCCTTGACCTTGCTGGATTGTTTTAGTTTCCTTTGATTGCCATAACAAAGTTCCCGTAAATTGGGTGGCTTAAGACAACAATAATTTCACTGTTCAGGAGGCCAGAAGTCCAAAATCAAGTAGGGTTGATTCCTCCTTGGGACCTTTGAGGAACAATCTAGTCCATACCTGTCTCTGAGCTTCTGGTGGTTGCTGATAGTCCTTGGCATTTCTTTGCTTATAGATGCATCACTCCAGTCTCTGCCGTTGTCCCATTGCATTCTCATGTACAACCACGTCTTCTTTGTGTATTCTTCCTCCGGTGTATGTCTCTCTCCAACTTTTCTTGTGAGCGTGTTGTTCATAATGGATTTAGAGCCTACCTACATAATCTAGGGTGATCTTCTCTCAAGATCCTTAACTACATCTTCAAAGACCCTTTTTCCAAATAAGCCGATGTTCGCAGTTGAAGGGATTAAGAGGTACAGTAGTCCCCCACCCCCATCCCTTATCCATAGGGGATACATTCTAAGACCCCAATGGATAGCTGAAACTGCAGATAGTACCAAACCATATATGATACATGATATATATTTTTTCCTATACATACATGTAAGAAAATTTATAAATTAGGCATAATAAGAGATTAACAACAAGTAATAATAAAATAGAAGTTACAACAATATACTGTAATAAAAGTTACGTGATTTTTGTTTCTCTCTCCCTCCCTCTATCACAGTGTCTTATTATACCATACTTACCCTTCTTTTTGTGATGATGTGAGATAATAAAATGCTTATGTGATGAGGTGAATACATAGTCATTATGGCCTAGTGTTAGGCTACTATTGACCTTTTGATTATACATCAGAAGGAGACTCATCTGTTTCCAGACCATGGTTTCCATGACCGCAGGTAACTGGAACTGTGGAAAGTGAAACTTGGCTAAGAGGGAACTACAGTAGATATCTTTTGGGAGCTACCATTCAGCCTATTAAAATAAGCATCTTCTTCACTTCTCAGTCTCTAGGAAAATATGTTCTTATATTTGAAATTATTGTCTTGATTTTTATTATCTTATAGAAGACTCTGACCTGCATTACTTTTATTCTCTATAGTTGGTCCTGAGAAAAGAGTGCCAGCAATGCCTGGATCTCCTGTGGAAGTGAAGATACAGTCAAGATCCTCACCTCCCACCATGCCACCCCTGCCACCAATAAATCCCGGAGGGCCCAGGCCAGTGTCATTTACTCCTACAGCATGTGAGATCTCTTCATTTACTTGGGTTTGTGGTTCAGACTGACATTTAGATCTAAGTGACTGACTGATTTTAAGCCTTCTGCATAAACTGTTCAACATTTTCAAAATAACTAAGATATTTTATGTATATACACACACACGTATGTACCTATACACATATTCACACACATAGGGTTATTTCTTTCTTTTATAAATTGCTTTTGCCCTCTGAGAATAGTACTTAGCTAATTTAGGCATTTGGAAATTTAGTGGTCTAAATATTTTGTTTTCATACTCTAGCTGGTAAGTAGCTATTTTAATTTCTTGGCTCTAAAATGAATTAAAATTAAAAATAAATAAATAAAATGAATTACAATTTTTATATTGAGGGTGCCTGTGTGGCTCAGTTGGTTAAGTGTCTGACTCTCGATTTCCACTTAGATCTTGATCTTGAGGTGTTGAGTTCAGGCCCCATGTTGGGCTCCATGCTGGGCGTGGAGCCTACTTGAAAAAAACCAAAACAAATTATTATATTGATTTATAGGAGTCAAAGTAAATTTCATGTAATTACCAAACCACTTCTAAAAGTATGCTAGGGCTATCATGGTAAGGCTTTTTTTTTTTTCAAAGAGAGGGGAAAGGAGGGAAGGGACAGAGCAAGAGAGAGAGAGTCTTAAGCAGGATCCATGCTTAGCATGGGGCTTGATCTCACAGCCCTGAGATCATGACCTTTGCCGGAATCAAGAGTCGGAGGCTTAACTGGCTGAGCCACCTTGGCGCCCTGGTAAGGCTCTTTACAAAAGTAAATGAGTATTGTGTTAAGTTTGCTAGGGCTGCCACAAGAAAATGCCACAGGCTGGATGGCTTAAACAACAGAAATTTATTTTTTTCACAGTTCTGGAGGAAAGAAGTCCAAGATTAAGGTGTCAGGAGTTTTGGTTTCTCCTGAGGCCTCTCTCCTTGGCTTGCAGATAGCTACCCTTTCTGCTGTGTCCTCCCATGGCCTTGCCTCCGAACGTGTATACCAGCTATCCTTTCCGCTTATAAGGACAATAGTCATATTGGATTAGGGACTACCCACATGACCCACATGACCTCATTTAACCTTTAAAAGCCTCTATCTCCAAATATAGTCACATTCTGAGGTACTGGAGATTAGAACTAGAGCATAGGAATTTGTGGGGGACATAATTCGGTCCATAAGAATTATATTAGCCAATAAATATATAATAGATTTTCAACCTTACTAGCCATCAAGGAAATGCAAACTAAAACCCAATGTAATACCATATACATCTGAAAGAATGTTCGAAATAGAAAAGAATACCAAGTTTTGGTGAGCATGTGTGGAGTTACCTGAACACTCCATGCAATGTTGGAGTATGAGAAAATTGTTTGGTAGTATTTACCAAAGTTGAATTTTCAGAAAGTCTTTAACTCCACAGTCAGTCCTACATATGTGTATACTTAACCAAACAAACAAAAATTAGAAGAAAACCCAATGTGAAATCTAAACATACATACGTACATGTCTAGATTTTAATCTGGGTTTTTCTGCCTTACCATGCCCATGATTACTCCAGTGCATGTTGACTCTCTTACAGATATTTTGCCTCATAAAGCAGAAGACACTTGCTATTTGTGGAGTGCCCGTAATTTGTCAGAGCACTGAGCTAGGTGCTATATGACATTTTCTTTTTTAAATGCTGTTACATAAGTTCACACAACTGTCTTTGCTCAAACATTTATGGGTTTTGCTTTTATTAAAAGGCAAGAGAAGAATCTAGGAAGTACAGCTTAAACAGAAGGTTTAATTATTATATTTCCAATACATTTGAAATTGAGTGAGTGGCAACTGCAACAGTCTGAGCCAGAGTGGATGAAATTAAGTTTTATATCCTTTTAAAAATTCTGTTTCTATCTTAAAATTATACATCCTTACATATAGGTACTATCTTGAAATGAACAGATTTAAACAACTAGGCTATCATTCACATTTCAAGATACAGGAAGTAGGAATATGTATATGTAAACTCAGCCCTTTTTAACTCCATAGTTGACTACTTGGTGGTAGATATGTTTTATTTTGGAAAATGTGCTCATACACTTGAACAAAAGAGACTGAAAAAGTCTGTCTTATTGTCAGAGTGGCTAAAAAGCACAGTAATATATTATTTTTATGGGTTTCTTCCAAGGGGGCAGTTCTTCAATGACAATTGACCTTTCTGTGAACACAAAGAAATAGCAGATCATTGCAACTAATTTTCTGGATTGCTGAGGTTGTTGAGTATTAAGCTTTCCTTTCCAATAGTTCTAGTGATCTTTTTTAATGGAAGATACAAAAGAAAATTAACCCTCGCGTTCTCAGCCTGTTAGTCTTTCATGTAGTGAATCATTCAGCAGCTTTTTCCTGAACACTTAACACTTGCTAGCTAATGAACAAAACCTATATATGTATACACACAGACACACACATATATATGGTATACACAGTTTACAAAACTCTGCTAATTATAGTATATGCCGATATATAACATAATGTTCATCAAGAAGTGCACAGTCTATTAAGACAGTGCAAATATAGAAAGAAGTAAGTAACATAATGGAAGCATTTATAGGAAGCACAGAGAAGAGTTACTAAATCTACCAGGGTTTACCTTAATGTGCCGCAACAGAATCTATTAAAAGAATGTTTTCTTTTTTTTCCCTTCGATTCTATTTATTTATGTGAGAGGGAGAGTGAGAGAGAGCACGAGCAGGGGGGCAGGGGGAGAGGGAGAAGCAGGCTCCTTACTGAGTAAGGAGCCTGATGGAGGGCTCGATCCCAAGACCCTGGGATCATGACCTGAGCCGAACGCACTCGCTTAACCGATTGAGCCACCCAGGTGCCCAAGAATATTTCTTAATACAGATGATATGTGAGTGTATATAGGTGGAAGAAAAGTTTGCCAGATCAAATTTGAATCAGGGCCAGTCAGAAAGTAGGAACAGTAGGACTGACCAACTGTATCTGGCTTGAGGAAGAAGAAGGGAAGTGAAAAATTTTTCATGATTAATGACTTGGCATTGAGCCCAATATAAGTAAATGTCAGTTTTCTAAGTTAAGTAAAGATTAAATAATTTGGCTTAAGTCTTGACTTAAATTGTTTCTGTTTTTAGACATATTTTTTAATTTTACCTTCCTATACTTTCAAGTCTATGTACGATTAAGTGAAAATCTACTGACACTTGGGCACCAGGTAATTTTATTTCGCTGTTCAGTGAAGGAGATTTTTACTTAATACCTCCGAGAACTTAGCTTTAGGGTGGTGTTCCAAATTAAAACTTAGCAACAAATGACTAAGAACAATGGGAAAATAGGAAAACTGAAATTAATCACATGTAGTATAATTTGCGCAGAAGTAGAAAATTGATATGTCCTGTGTGGTATCTAGAAAATCCTTTACTGAATGACCAAGAATTTGGCAGCATTAATATAGCACTGTTGGGGCACGGAGAAACTGACTGATGGGTGTGAATATTCTGAATGGTCCATGAGGTATATACCTTATTGCAGGAATAGGTCATTAAATCTATAGCCTAGAAAAAATATTTTTCAAAAAAAAGTAAAAAAGAAAAACCATTTTTCACTTAAAGATAACTCTGGTTTCTGGTTGTCTGTTCGCATGCTACATTTTAACTCACTCCTTAACTTCTTTGGAGCCCTAAGATTAGGAAGGAACATAAAAGATGTGTGCAAGTGTCCAGTCAATGGAAATATGTATTCTTTTATTTATTTATTTTTAAAGATTTTATTTATTTATTTGACAGAGAGAGAGATAGTGAGAGCAGGAACACAAGCAGGGGGAGTGGGAGAGGGAGAAGCTGGCTCCCTGCCAAGCAGGGAGCCTGGTGCGGGGCTCAATCCCAGGACCCTAGGATCATGACCTGAGCTGAAGGCGGACGCTTAACAACTCAGCCACCCAGGCGCCCCGGAAATACGTGGTCTACCAGACTCATGTCATGCAGTACCTGTTGCAAGAAATCTTAATACTACCTATCCCTGCCCACAGCAACTGTAGTTAGATGTCTGTTCTCTGTATTCTTAAAACAGTCCCTACTCTTCTGTTTTAACATGCTTTTGTTATTCTGTTATCATTTTTTACCTGGTAGTCTGTTCATTGTGCAGTAGTCTCATTGACAGTAGAAAAAGTTTCTTGGATACTCTTAATATGTGCTTTACAAAATTCAGCTGAATAAATGACAGTTAATGCGAACACGAAGAAATTAAGAAAGACCCACGTGTTTTGCACTTAAACAGTCTTTCCTTTTGGCTTTCTTTTATAGTAAGCAACGGTATCAACCATTCTCCTCCTACCCTGAATGGTGCCCCATCACCACCACAGAGATTCAGCAATGGTCCTGCCTCTTCCACATCGTCGGCACTAACAAATCAACAGTTACCAGCCACTTGTGGTGCTCGGCAGCTCAGCAAATTGAAACGCTTCCTTACCACTCTGCAACAGTTTGGCAATGACATCTCACCTGAGATTGGGGAGAAGGTGCGGACTCTTGTTCTGGCACTGGTGGTAAGTACAACGTCACTGTCCCCAGCTACTTAAGTGTGTGGCTCAGAACCAAAGCCAGCAAACCTGTAGCAACATGGCAAAATCTACAGACTAATATAGTTACATAACTTGTATAAAAGTATAGAATTGTGGGTTTCAATTATGGATAGCAATGTTTATGAAAGAAACAAATCTAGAATGTTTACCTTATTGTTTCTTAGGGTATTGATTTAATTCCAATAAGCAGCTTTGAATTTGTCTAAAGACTGAGTTTCAGCAGGCCACTGAGGTTCAACCAAGTTAATGCAAGGTTTTGTAATATAATATATTCAGTGTCCGGCGCATTGTTTCCAAACCTGAGAGAAAAGAAAAGCAGGGAGTTTAATTTTCAAAATAATAATTTGTAAAATTATAAATCTCATAGTCTAAATAGTATCAAAGGGATTGCATTTTTCAGCTCCTCATGCAAATGGAGTTTCTATAGAATTTTCAATGTACACCTAATTTTTCTTTGTGTAGTGAGTGTGGTAATGATTTTCTGACATAGACATCTGGGTGGAGTTTGACTCTCATGTATATAAGGAAAGTACTGACAGTTCACTATGTTTTTTAAATTGAATTCTTCAAGATACACATATCTCCTGAAAAAGCACCCTGTGGTCATGCATGTTGGCCTTTTCCTATGATAAACGTGAATCACAGTACTAAACCTTAGTGTTGTAGTTCTCCAAGTGCAATCAGGGACTCCTGGGATTTCCCCAAACCCTTCCAGGAAGTCCAGGAGGTCAAAATTATTTTCTCTGCGCCCCCACCCTTTTAAAAGATTTATTTATTTGTTTTAGAGAGAGAGCGATTGAGCCTGGGTGGGAGGGTCAGAGGGAAAGGGAGAAAGAATCTGAAGCAGACTATGTGCTGAGTGCAAAACCCAGTGCAGGGCTCCATCTCACAACCTTGAGATCATGACCTGAGCTGAAACCAAGAGTCAGATGCTAAACCAAGTGTGCCACCCAGGTGCCCCTATTTTCATAATAAAACTAAAATGTGAATTGACTAGGTGGCCCAGTCGGTTATACGTCCGACTCTTGATCTCAGGGTCGTGAGTTCAAGCCTTGCATGGGGCTCCACACTGGGCATGCAGCCTACCTAAAAAATTAAAATAATAGATGTTACTTGCCTTTTCATTCTTACTCTATCCTGAGCATATTGTGGAATTTTCTAGAAGCTGCATGATAAGGGTTGTCGCAGTGTATTAAATGCAGTAGATAGGAGAACCCAGCTGTCTTTTTATAACCTAGGTGTCAAAGAGACTTGCAAAACTGTAACAACAGTGCCATTCTTACTACATTTTTGGGGAAAATATAGTTATTTTGAAATGGGTTAATAATAAATAGTTTTCAAGTACTCAACTTTAATTTCTAATCTTGGGATTAATGATAGATGTAACCCACATGAATTAGATATTTATTTATGTTTTATATAAAATAGATATTTATTTATTTATTTTAAAGATTTCATTTATTTATTTGACAGGGACACAGCAAGAGAGGGAACACAAGCAGGGGGAGTGGGAGAGGGAGAAGCAGGCTTCCCGCTGAGCAAGGAGCCCCATGTGGGGCTCGATCCCAGGACCCTTGGATCATGACCTGAGCCAAAGGCTTAACGACTGAGCCACCCAGGTGCCCCACAAATCTTTTTTTAGTATAGAAGTATTTATATGTAGATGTAGCCAATTATCTACTTTCAGTGGCCATGCCCTGGTTAATTTTTTTCCAATGATGTCATTCTTAGGTGGTAAAAGTCCATGTTTAAGTGTGCAGTTCAGTGGTATAAGTTATTCATTGTTATTCATTGTTGTGCAGCCATCACCACTATCCACCTCAAGAACTCTTCATCATGCAAAACTGAAACTTTGTGCCATTAAACAATAACTCTTCATTCCTTCCCTCTTCCGTTCCCGTCAACCATCATTCTACTTGACTACTCTAGAAACCTCTTTTAAGTAGAATCATACAGTATTTGTCTTTATATAGCTGACTTATTTCACCTAACATAATGTCCTCAAGGTTCATCCATGTTGGGACGCCTGAGTGGCTCCGTCAGTTAAGTGGCTGCCTTCAGCTCAGGTCATGATCCCAGGGTCATGGGATCGAGTCCCACATTGGGTTCCCTGCTCAGTGCGGAGTCTGTTTCTCCCTCTGCCTGTTTTTCCCCCTGCTTGTGCTCGCCCTCTCTCTCTCTCTGACAAATAAATAAAAATCTTAAAAAAAAAAAAAAGTTCATCCATGTTGTAGTATTTGTCTGATTTTTCGACTTTCTTAAGGCTGAAAATACTCCATTGCAGGCATATACCATATTTTGCTTGTCCATTCATCTGTTGTTGCATCCCTGGGGTGCTTCTACCTTTTTGGTTAGGGAAGGTTTTATATCCATATGGGAAACTGTTTATCAGCCAATTTCATAGATGCCAGGCAGTGGCCTGACCTTGCAAGCACCCTTTTCTTAGGATATTTGTTTTAAACCTGCTATACAGAAGAAGGGTTAGGGTTTCTGTATAGGCGCTGTTGCAAGTAATCTTGCTGTAAGCATTCTTCTACATGGTATGCATGTGCGAGCATTGCACTGAACAAAGGAATTGAATTCATAAGGTATGCATATATACCAATTTAGTATGTAAGGCCATTGGTTTTCTTATGTGTTAAGTACTAATGTATACTCTCATATACTGACTGGCATTTTTATTAAGATTAGTGTCCCAGTCTGTTCGGGCTGTTGGAATACCAAACATGGGGTGATTTATAAACAACTGTCATTTATCTTACAGTTCTGGAGGCTGGTAAGTGGTGCCAGTAGATTTTGTATTCAGTGAGATCCCACTTCCTGACTTTTAGATGGCTGTCTTCTAACTGTGTCTTCACAGGGCCAAAGGGGCAAGGGAGATCTCTTAAGGTCTCTCTCTCTCTTTTTTAAAGATTTTATTTATTTATTTGACAGAGAGAAAGAGCACAAGCAGGGAGAGTGGGAGAAGGAAAAGCAGGCTTCCTGCGGAGCAGGGAGCCGACGCTCGGCTCTATCCCAGGACCCTGGGATCGTGACCTGAGCCGAAGGCAGCTGCTTATCTGACTGAGCCACCCAGGCGCCCCTCAAGGTCTCTTTTATAAAGGCACTAATGCCATTCGTAAGAGCTCTGCCCTCATGACCTAATCATCTCCCAAAGGCTCCACCTCTAAATGCAAAAACATTGGAGATTAGGTTTCAACATACAGATTTTGAGGGGTCACATTCAGTCTAGAGCAATTGATATTGAAAGTATAAATTTATTTGGAGAAGATGCAGAAAAAGAAATGCTTTTTAAATTTAACACCCATTCATTCTTTTAAAAAACACTTAAGAAAACAATTATTGCAGGAACTTCCTTAATCTGACGATAATTTCTTTCTTTTTTTTTTTTTTTAAAGATTTTATTTATCCATGGGCGCCTGGGTGGCTCAGTCGGTTAAGCAACTGCCTTCGGCTCAGGTCATGATCCCAGGGTCCTGGGATCGAGTCCCCCATTGGGCTCCCTGCTCTGCGGGAAGCCTGCTTCTCCCTCTCCCACTTCCCCTGCTTGTGTTCCCTCTCTCACTGTGTCTCTCTGTCAAATAAATAAATAAAATCTTAAAAAAAAAAAAAAAATAAATAAAAAGATTTTATTTATTCATTTGAGACACAGAGATAGAGCAGGGTCTTCGAAGAGGGAGAGGGAGAAGCAGGCTCCCTGCTGAGCCAGGAGCCTGATGTGGGGCTTGATCCTAAGACCCTGGGATCATGACCTGAGCTGAAGGCAGACGCTTAACAATCTGAGATACCCAGCGCCCCTGATAGTTATTTTCTAACAAAAAAATCTATAGCAAGGCTCATACTGGTGAAATTTTGAAAGCTTCCCTTTGATAGCAGGAATCAGATAAGAATGTCTCTTCCAAAAAAAAAAAAAAATGTCTCTTCTGTCTTCTATTCAGTGTGATCCTGAATATTCTAACCCAGCAAATAAGACATAAAGATTGGTGAGAGATTAATAAAACTGTCATTATTCATAAATCAAATGGTTATCTTGTGTGTGTGGCTTTTGAAGTTAAAAAAAAAATTCTATATTTTGTGTGGCTTTGCTGCCATCTTGTTGAACACTTTGTTTAACTTGGAGGAGAATGAACATCTTTAGATTGTTTATTTCCTTATTCAAGAAAGTCAAATTTCAGGGGCACCTGAGTGGCTCAGTCAGTTAAGCGTCTGCCTTCAGCTCAGGTCATGATCCCAGGGTCCTGGGATGGAACTCTTGAGTCCCGCACCCTGCTCAGCGGAGAGTCTGCTTCTCCCTCTTCCTCTGACCTTCCCCCATGCTCTCACACACACACTCTCTTGCTCTCAAATGAATAAATGAAATATCTTTAAAAAAAAAAAAAGTCTTACTTCCTGTTTATAAAAACTGTGGTTAAGATTTAGGCAGGCATATATAAATGGAACACTTGTTCCATGTGGAGGAGACTTCGTTAGCCAAGTACGAAAAGACTACACAGTTAGGTACCTGGAGTATAGTTCACTTGTGTGAATTTCATGTTTGTGGTGTTTAAGCTTAAAGTGCTGATAGTTCCTAACTATACCAGGAGGCAAGCATGCTCAATTTCTAATGCAAGGTAAAGGGGAATGTTCTATATTCCACCTAGAATACACATTCTAGAGGGCAGTTTGGCAAATTTCAGGTACCTTAAACTAGGCAGTTCTTTTGGCTAACCATTTTTTCACCTTGAAATTCTTCCTAAGAAAATAATCATTGTACACAAAGATCATCGGTTGAACATTATTTATAATGACAAAAAAAAAAAAATTGAAACCAGCTAAATGTTCTGTAAAATCCTGTGTGAATTGCAATACATCAGTTCAGTTGGATATGACATAGTCATTAAATATCAAGGTTGGTGCAGAGGTAGAATACGAAGGTATACTTCTTCCTATTCCTCCTGACAAATAGAGCAAGAAATCTTGGACTTTATACAGAAAACAAAAATAAAGAAGACTTTGAAAGATGGCAGATATGCTAGTGACCTTGTGACCCAAGGAAGTACATAGCAGTGAGTTCCTTAAGTTCTGTGTTTTCATCATATATCCAGGACTGTGGTCTGTAGAAGCTATTAACCTGGAAACACTTAGGAGCACAAACTACAACAATAACGAAAACCCTTTTTCCTGCAAGGACCAGGAAAGAAGCAACCAGGCAAGGTCGGAAACTTTCAGACAGTAAGCACACTATAGCAGCCAAAACCTTAGGAAGAACTGCAGTAATGGGTAGCCTTCCCTTTCCCCATCAGAGGCCCAGTGGGAAACCCAAACTCTCACCCCTTCCCAGCAATAATGTGTCCCTCTTCCCCTCTCACAATCAACAGAGGTTGAGTGGGAAACCTGGGATTAAACCCTAAAAAGGATTCTCCTTTTTCCAATGGTGCAAGTATCAGACTTCTAAAACAGAAGTCAGAGATAAGATCCAGAGTCTTATAACATAGAACCCAAAATACCCAGGATACAAAAGAAAATAACTTATCATGTGAAGAACCAGGACCGTCTCAACTGGAATGAAAAAAACAACCAACCAACAGACTTCAACTAAACTGACACAGATGTTGGCCCAGCATCATAAAATGCTTCAGTGAGCAATTATAAACAGAAATGAAAAAATACAAAGGCTCTGCAAAAAATAAAATAAAAATAGAAGATAGAAAAACTAAGTGGAAATTTTAGAACAAAAATATGAATTAAAAACAGCAATGGACTCAACAGTGAAATGGAGAGGAAGAACAACAGAAAAAAAATGACTTGTACAATAGAGTGAAAATGACTTGTAAAAAATGAACTAAACCTCAGGGACCTAAAAGAATAAAAGATCTGAGTCACGATAGGACAGAAGAAAGTATGGGCCTGAAATAATGACTGAATTTGCTCAAATGTGACTAAATCTACAGATTCAAAAAAGTGACACACAGACCTCAAACAAGGTCCCCCCAAAAAGACCAAAAAATCTTGAAAGCAGCAAGGAAGAAACATCTTACTTACAAAGGAAAAATTCTAGTGACAATGGCCTTTTTCCAATGCTGAAAGAAAAGAACTGTCAACCCAGAATCTGACATGTATCAGAAATGTACTTCTGGAACGATCAAAATATTCTCTGAGATGAAGTAAAACTAAGAGAAACTGTATCTAAGCAGACCTCCTCTAAAAGAATGGCTAAAAGAAGTTCCTGAAGCAGAAAGAAAATGATAAAAGAAGGAATCTTGAGATACCACGGTAGACAAACGAAAAATGGAAAGAGCAAAAATAAAAGTCAATACAATAGAATTTCCTTCTTGAGTTTTCTAAACTATGGTGGTTGAAGCAAAAATTATAACATTGTCTGATATGGTTGTCTATATATATAAAGGAAATATGTAAGACAATTATATTCTAAGCCAGAGAGCATAAAGGCAGGTAAGGTTTATACACTATCTTTTTAAAATTTGAGAGAGATCGAGTGAGAGAGCACAAGCAGGGGAGCAGGGGGAGCAGCAGAGAGAGAGGTAGAAGCAGGCTCCCCACTGAGCAGGGAGCCCCATGTGCGGCTCAATCCCAGGACCCTGAGCCAAAGGCAGATGCTTAACCAATTGAGCCACCCAGGCGCCCTCTACACTTCTGTATCTTGCCTGCAGTGGTGATTACATGGAATACACACGTGCACTAAAGGGACACAGAACCATATACACATTTCACCAACGTTCTTCCCTCATGATACTACATTGCAGGTATAGAAAATGTAACCGGTGGGGGAACCTCTCTGTACTGCTTTTACAACTTCCTATGATCATATTTATCTCAAAATTTTAAAAGATAAATGTGAATCAATGGCCTGTCTGTACCCATTGTCTTCTAAGACCACTGTAGGTGTTGCCCTTGTGATCCAGAGACCAGATCCCCTGACGTTTTACATTCTTCTCTGTCAGAAGCATCTTTCCCAAGGCTGCATTTTCACTTCTTAGGGTGGACACTTTTGTAAAGCCTTCCTTGTCCCCCTAAGTCTGATTCAAGCATGTCTTCTCTGTGTGCCCGTCGTCTCCTGCTCATGTATGTCTTGATCATACTGTAATGAATAGCTTGCTTGTTTGTTTTCCTGCTACACTGTGAGTTCTTATAAACAAACAACCATGCTCTTATTAATTAACTGAAGGGGAGGGAAAGATAATGGAATAGTGGCTTATCATACCTCTCAGATAGAGGATTGCCTTGCATCTACAGTATATGTAGTCCTGTGTCAGTTTCTGTGGCCTATGTCACTATTTCTCTGGCCACACAACTCATTCTTTCCCTTCTTTGTCCATCCACAAGAAAATTTAAAAATCATTCATACAGTTTTTTTCATGTATTTACCCTATTCGTGTTTACTTTTTGAGCCTGATTGCATTCATTGCAGTAGGGAAAGAATGTTCTTTTTATTCCCGATTAGCCGTACCTTTGGTTGCATTGTACAAATGTCATGTACTTAAAACAAAGAATCTGTTAAATTTTAAAAGAGTCTTGGTGTTGGGTGAGCACCTGGGTGGCTCAGTCTGTTAAGCATCTGACCCTTGGTTTCAGCTCAGGTCATGATTTCAAGGTTGTGGGAGATTGAGCCCGCATGGTGCTCTGCACTCAGTGGGGAGTCTGCTTCCCCTCTCCCTCTTTGCCCCCCCCAACCCCAGCTCACGCACTCTTTCTCTGTCTCTCTAATAAGTCTTTTAAAAAATAGGGGCGCCTTCGTGGCTCAGTTGTTTAGGCGACTGCCTTTGGCTCAGGTCATGATCCTGGAGTCCCGGGACGAGTCCTGCATCGGGCTCCCTGCTCAGCGGGGAGTCTGCTGCTCCCTCTGACTCTCCCCCCTCTCAAGCTCTCTCTCTATCACTCACTCTCTCAATAAATAAATAAAAATCTTAAAAAAAATTATTTAAAAAATAAATAAATCATCTTGGTTTGAAATCAGGTACAGTTCAAATATTTTCATTTAACATGGTTCAATTTGATATACTTTTTACCTAAGAGGAAATATTCTTAATTTTTATAGAATATTAATATGATATATTTCAGAAATCCAACATAATTTCATATCCAGAAATAACTGCTGTTGTAATTGTCTTTGCAGGCACTTTAAAACCTATATAGGGGCACCCTGGTGGCTCAGTCAGTTGAATGTCTGCGTTCGGTTCAGGTCATGATCCCAGGGTCCTGGAATCAAGCCTCTGCATCGGGCTCCTTACTCAATAGGGAGCTCCTTATTCCCTCTCCCTCTGCCTGCCACTCCTCCTGCTTGTACTCTCTCTGTCAAATCAATAAAAAAAATCTTTAAAAAAAAAAAAAAGACTATATAAATGTGTGTGTATTTCCACAAATGACTTATAGAAAAGCATACTATTCTTTTTCTGGTTTTTCATTTAACAGTATGTTATAAACACATTTCCTTATTAATGCATATAAATCTGTCCCTCCTCCCTTAATGTTCTGATGTATGACTACCATAATTTTTTTAAGATTTATTCATTTTAGAGAGAGAGAGAGTGACGAGAAGGGGCAGAGGGAGAGAGAATCTTAGGCAGACTCGATGCTGAGTCCAACACAGGACTTGATCCTGTGACCCCGACATCACAACCTGAGCCAAAACCAAGAGTCGGATGCTTAACAGACTGTACCACCCAGGCACCCCTGTACCATAAGTTTTAAATGCAGATTCCTGGTAGTCGACCTATATGCTTTCTATTCCTTATTGTTAAGAAGCAATATTGTACTGATAAATAATTTGTAGAGTACTTGTTAACATCCTTGAACTCCTGATGATTTTATAAAAATAAATCCCTAGGAGTGGTAGTTGTTCTTTCAGGGAAGCAAGAATTCAGATTAATGCTCAGTTTTGTTTTGTTTTTAGCTCATTATCACACTGTGTTTTAAGGAATTGAAATTTGTGAACTTTGAAGAAAATAATTTTATTTGTACATTCCCCTTAGCAGAGGAGCTGAAAATCCTATTTAAAGCTAGACTTTTGTTGGGGCTCCTGGGTTGTTTAGTTGGTTAAGCGTCTGACTCTTGATGTCTGGTTAAGTCTTGATCTCCGGGTTGTGAGTTCAAGTGCCTCACTGGGCTTCACGCTGGGCATGGACCCTACTTTAAAAAAAACCAAAAACCTACACTGTTGGAAAAATACAGGGGAAGTGCTAATAACCTTATTGGAAATTAAAACCTTCCCAATATGAGTTTGTCTGTTTCCAGGTACTGTAATATTCAAGCCGACCATTTGAAGGTAGAAGGCACCTCTTGTTCTGCTTTGTTTCTTTCTTTTTTTTTTTTTTCCAACTTCTATTTGGAGGATTTAGGAAACTGATGCTAGCAGGAGGGCAGAGAGAAAGAAGTTGATATCCTAGACTCATTCAGGATTGTTTCATAAGGGAACATTGTAGGGTTAGTTTTCTGTACCTGAGGTGACTTTCCCTGAACTCCTCAATACAAAGGACCTGAGTGCCTCTCTTCCAAATAGCTAGGAAGGGAATAGCCTATTCTGCCTCCCAGGCTGCCACTGAGTACAGAGGAGAATTTAGATTTGGAGTACAAGAGAAACGAAAATTAAGGAGGCCAAATTTCTTTCATAAGGGAAACAATTTGGTTAATCTTTGAGAGGGACGTGAGTTTATAGTAGTGTTCTTGGAATTATCCTTTTCCTTGATTTTAAGTGGTTTAGCAGAATTAGATTTTTATTAGGGGGACAATATCCAGTTTTAGAAGTTGACGATGTTATTTATCTTTTCAGAACTCAACAGTAACAATTGAAGAATTCCATTGCAAGCTCCAAGAGGCTACAAACTTTCCTCTTCGTCCTTTTGTGATTCCATTCCTCAAGGTAATTTTTATGAGATAATTACTGAATGTAATTTATCTTCAGCATTTCCTCAAGATCTGTTGCTGATCCCTCTTCTGTGATCTCGGGGTGGCTTGCCATATTTTCATATCTTACTTTATTTGGGTCTGCTAGATAAATGTGAGTGGTCTGCAGATAAGTCTTACTTACACTTGGTGGCGTGAGAACTGGAAAAGCCTTGAGTTGTGGTCCATATGCAGATACTCCTGGTAACACACAGGAACAGGTGGGGGTAGCAAATGAGTGGGCTGGAGGTGAGTGTGGGGATGGTGTGGAGACTGGGGCTCTTTGCAGAGGAAGTAACTGGGCACTAAATATTTCATGTGTGGCCAGGGGGTGAAGTGTGTGTTTTTCCCACTTATCCTAAGGACAGAAGAGCATGTGGGAAGACAGTGTTGCTGTCTCCCCAACCCCAGTTAGTCTAGCTTCTGATCATGTCCTCTGGAATTCATGTTCCCTAGAACATAACTTTTGGGAGACATTGTTCAGAATTGTTATAACTACCTGAGAAATCAGGCAGTATTAAATTTATATCTAATATTCCCTTTTAAAAAATTTATTTGAAAATAATTTCAGGGGCGCCTGGGTAGCTTAGTCGGTTGGGCGATTGCCTTCGGCTCAGGTCATGATCCTGGAGTCCCATCATCAAGTCCCGTATCAGGCTCCCTGCTCAGCGGGGAGTCTGCTTCTCCCTCTGAACCTTCCCTCTCTCATGCTATCTTTCTCTCTCTCTCATTCTCTCTCTCTCAAATAAATCTTAAAAAAAAAAAATAATTTCAGACTCATAGAAAAGTTGCAAAATGGTGCAGTAAAATTCCTGTATACCATACCATATCTTCAGTTACATTCTCCAAATGTTAATATTTGATCACGTCTATATTACTATTCTCTTCGTCTTCTGTTTATTTTTCTTCAGAAATATTTGAGGGGTGGGGCGCCTGGGTGTCTCAGTCGTTAAGTGTCTGCCTTCGGCTCAGGTCATGATCTCAGGGTCCTGGGATCGAGCCCCGCATCGGGCTCCCTGCTCTGCGGGAAGCCTGGTTCTCCTTCTCCCTCTGTGAGCTCGCTCTATCTCTCTATCAAATAAATAAATAAAATCTTAAAAAAAAAAAAAAGAAAAAGAAATATTTGAGGGGGGCCTGGCTGGCTCAGTCAGTAGAGCGTGTGACTCTTGATCTCAGGGTTGTGAGTTCAAGCCCCATGTTGGGTGTAGAGATTACTTAAAAAATATCTATCTATCTATCTATCTATTTATTTATTGTTATTTGAGAGAGAGAGTGACAGAGACCTTGAGCAGGGGGTGGTACAGAGGGAGAGGGAGAAGCAGACTCCCCACTGAGTAGGGAGCCCAATGCGGGGCTCGATCCCAGGACCCTGAGATCATGACACCAACTGAGCCACCCAGGCGCCCTCCAGGTCAGGATTATTAATATGAATGTGTGAACAGAAGTAAAATTGGCTTCTATAGAGTGGGCAAGGAAAGTTACTTCAACCTCTGCTGGACATAATTTTATGCATGTTCATGGATACCAATTATTTTGCATTGCTATCAATTATTTTTAATTTGCAAAGATATAAATTAGCTAACAGTCAATGAAAGACAAGAGTCAAATACCAGTGTGCTCTAGACCAGGCATAGTTTGGAAACCTATGACCCAAATCCAGCTCACCATATGGTTTTAAACAGCTCTGGAGAGGAGAATTGTTTTTAAACTCTACGCCCAACTTGGGGCTTAAACTCACCATCCTGAGATCAAGATCAAATGCTCTACTGACTGAGCCAGCCAGGCGCCCTAAGAATAGTTTTTATAGATGAACATTTGTAATCAATTTGTGATAGGGAACACAACTCTTCTTATCTTCAATCCAACCCCCCAACAAAATGAATTCCATTCTTTCTATTAGCAGTAGACTAATATTACAAAAAATTATATTCTGTTGTTATGTTGTTTGACTGTTGTCAATGTTTGTAGAAATTTGTTTTCTCTCTTGTATATGAGTTACCCACATAATATCTTCAGTTTTGCTTCTTGACTCACAAAGCCTAAAATATCTGACCAAATATAGACTCTTTTACCTGCTTTTACCTTCACTTCCTAAAAAAATCTAGTAGCATAGGGGCACCTGGCTGGTTCCGCTGGTAGAGTTGTGAATTTGAGCCTCATTTTGGGTGTGGAGATTACTTAAAAATAACATCTTTAAGAAAATATAATAGTGGGGCACCTGGGTGGTTCAGATCTGCCTTTGGCTCAGGTTGTGATCTTGGGGTCCTGGGGTTGAGCCCTGCATCAGGCTCCCTGCTCAGCAGGGGGTCTGTTTCTCCCTCTCCTTCCTACCCTTCACCCCATTCATGCTCTCTCCCTCTCAAATAAATAAAATTTTAAGAAACACTACACACACACACACACATATATATGTATGTATATATAGCATCAAAAAGATGGGTCATGTTACAGAAGTATTGATATCAGTTTCTTAATTCTTTTAAAATTAGAGTAGGGATACCTGGGTGGCTCAGTCGGTTGAGCGACCAACTGTTGATTTCAGCTCAGGTCTTGATCTTGGGGTCCTGGGATTAAGCCCCATGTCAGTCTCACTACTCAGCAGGGGAGTCTGCTTCTTTCCCTCTTCCTCTGCCTCTCCCCCTGCCTCTCCCCCTGCTCGCATGCGTGTGGGCTCGCTCTCTCTCAAAAATGAATCTCAAAAATAAAAAAAAATAAAAAAAAAATTTAAAATTAGAGTATAGCCAACAGGAAAATGCGTAGGTGTCAGGTACCCAGACTGTGTGTGGCTCTGTTCTGATAGGATTGAAACGTCGCCTCTCAGAGCAGTCGGTAGCGCCTTTTTCAGGCCTGAAACAGCTGTGCTGGTTCTATCTTGGTCCCTTTGCTGTATGCCAGAGCCAATAGACAATTATTTCCCCTAAGACTCGAACCAAGAAAGATTTGTGAAAAATTTTTAATAGAAAATAATTAAGGGGCGCCTGGGTGGCTTAGTCGTTAAGCGTCTGCCTTCGGCTCAGGTCATGATCCCGGGATCCTGGGATTGAGCCCCGCATCGGGCTCTCTGCTCGGCGGGAAGCCTGCTTCTCCCTCTCCCACTCCCCCTGCTTGTGTGCCCTCTCTCACTGTCTGTCTCTCTGTCAAATAAATAAATAAATTAAAAAAAAAATAGGAAATAACATATTTTTAAAAATTCCATCAAAGGGCACATGTCACAGATGTAAAAATCTGACGTGGTATTTTTTTGATTGTTTTTTTTTTAATAGTTGCTACAAGTTTTAGGTTATAGAACAGACTTAAAAAGTGTTTTATATTGTCAAATTCCCTATTCTTAACTCTGTTATTTTGGAAAACAGCATGAGGTAGGTTGTTATGGCAGTTCTTTGGCTAACATTTGGATTTTGTCAATTTATTTCTGCTTTAACACAGTCACTTATTATGTTATGGTGCCTGCTAAATTAACCCTTGGTAAAGGAATGACTACTTGCATGTGTTAAAATTCTCCTTTTATTTGTTCATCTGTTTCCCTTGAGATAAAGAGTTCTGTTACGGGCTCAGGTCTGAATTGTTCTTAAATTTGGGGAGAATAATATAATTATTTTCTTTTAATAAAAGGAATATAGGAAACATACATTTTACATACGAAGGACTTAGAGTGAAGTTTGTAGATGTATAGGGTTTTTTATATGATTTGTCCCCATTAAAGGTTTTCTAAGTTTGAGAAGAAAATATAATCAGTATATAGTTAATTATCCTTTTACAATATAAGGAAACATATCCAGCTAGGGTGCCACAATAAGAAAGAGATTTTGCCCATGGGTCACCTGTGCATCCTCAGAGCCTAGTCTAATGCTTCCAGAATTCCAAGACAGCTGTCCTAGAGAACATGAAAGGAAGGTTGAGCGGTACTATCAGCGATGGGTTGGAATTTGAAAGAGGGAAACCAAGACTTACTGATGATGATAGAGGAAAGTGTGAATTTCTCCTACCCCTTTGTAGACAGGACTAATTTTCTAATAGGCCTTTTCAAAAATACATGTTAAAAAAATTTTTTTTAATTTGAAGTTTGGTCCACGCCCAGCGTGGGTCTTGAACTCTTGATCAAGAGTTGCATGCTGTACCAACTGAGTCAGCCCATTGCCCCCAAAATGTATAAAATTTGAATTTACTCTGTTAAACATGCCTTCATTGAGCTTTGACTCTGTGCTAGGCCACAAAGGTAAATAAAGCACAGTCTTCCCCTTTAGGGGATTTACACCTTGTGGGGGCAAGAGTCAAGTTAACCAGTAGTTCCAGGTCAGTATTATAGATGTCACTTTACTCATAGAGAGGCATATAAAAATCAGACTGACAAGGAAAGAAGGACTTTTGTCTTGTGTCATCTTATTTGTTAAAGCCTTTTCAGGTGCTGAGCCCTGTTGTGTGGGGCCCAACACTTGGAAAACTGCCTTCCAGCCCCTGCCTCTTCTTTTCAAGGCCAATCTGCCCCTGCTGCAGCGAGAACTGCTGCACTGCGCTCGAGCCGCCAAGCAGACCCCATCCCAGTACCTGGCTCAGCACGAACACCTTCTGCTCAGCACAAGTATTGCGTCACCTGCTGATTCTTCCGAACTGCTCATGGAAGTGCATGGAAGTGCAAAGAGGCCCAGTCCAGAAAGGTGAGTAGAGAAGTGATTTGTTGTCCTTGCTTTCCTAGAATTATTCTGAGCTTCCCCTTTGCTTGTGAAAGAAAGAGAATTTGATTACTGTGATTATATATAGGTATGGACTCAGAATTTCTAAGGTTAGTTTTGCTTTTTCCCAACATCTGACAGCAGAATGTTTCTCAAATCTATACGTGTAGTTCCCAGACACAAGTATTTTTCAAAAACTCTTCAGATGACTCTGTATGCCCCTGCTGAGAGACTCCACTCTAGGGCATTCTGTGGGTCCACTGTTCCAGAACCATAGGAAATACAGTCTGGGGGCGCCTGAGTGGCTCAGTCGGTTGAACGTCTGCTTTAGGCTCAGGTCATGATCCCAGGGTCCTGGGATCGAGCCCCGCATCAGGCTCCCTGCTCGGCAGGGTGCCTGCTTCTACCTCTCCCTCTCCTCCCAACTCCTGCTCTCTCTCACTGTCTCTTTTTCAAATAAATAAAATAAAATAAGATTTCTTCTGGAAATTTCAGTATGAATTGAAAGTGTAATTCAAGGAAGCAATATTTTAACACAGTGGAAAATGTGTGAAAATTGAAGCAAAATGACTGGAAACAGTACCGACTCACAAGTGTATTAATTATGTGAGCCTTTTTTCCTCCCATGTGAAGAATTGTTTCTTTCCATAAACGGACCTCCAGAACAGCAAATTTGACCTCAAAACATTGCTGAACATAGTTGAGCCCATAATCCTCCGTATACTATCACATAAGAAAATGCTGTAATCCCTCCTTTGCTTCATTGAGGTGAGATGTTTGTGCCTGGTTGTGGATAGATTTAACCTCTCTTCATGCTGGAATAAATCACAATTCTTTTTATCTACCTGGCCTCTGGAGAAATTTTTGTTCATGCCTCATGTTACACTTTTTTTTTTTTTAAGATTTTATTTATTTGACAGAGAGATAGAGCGCAAGTAGGCAGAACAGCAGGCAGAGGGAGAGGGAGAAGCAGGTTTGCCGAGCAGGGAGCCTGATGTGGGGCTCCCAGGACCCCAGGATCACGACCCGAGCCGAAGGCAGCCACTTAACGAACTGAGCCACGCAGGTGCCCCTGTCACATCTGTCTTTATCATCTTCCTGTTTGTGAAAGATGGGCTCAGATATGTACTTCTGGTTCTTCTACAGGAGGGAAGAGAACAGTTTTGAAAGAGATACAGTTCCTCCTGAGCCTCCGGCCAAGAGAGTGTGCACCATCAGCCCTGCTCCCCGGCACAGTCCTGCCCTCACTGTGCCCCTCATGAATCCTGGGGGCCAGTTCCATCCTACTCCTCCACCTCTTCAACACTACACCTTAGAAGATATTGCAACTTCACATCTGTATCGTGAGCCCAACAAGATGCTAGAACATCGAGAAGTTCGTGATAGACACCACAATCTTAGTAAGTGACATGAGCAGCATGGTAATGCTTTAAATTCAGATTAAATCTTTGGGTTTCCTTCCTACTCAGTTATGAAGCAAAATGACACAATCATTGCTTTTTTCCTCTGATAAGATAAAACAATATTATACATAAACAAGAATATTAGAGTTGTAGTGATCTTGTTGCTATTATCCTTATGATAGAACTGGGCTTAAATAAATTTTTAGGAAATACATAATGAAATATTTAAGAATAAAGAGGTATCAGGGGCGCCGGGGTGGCTCAGTTGGTTAAGCG